AGAGTGTTCCTCTTCTAAAGCTCAAAGGCTGAGAATAAGAACTTTGGTGATTGGCCTATGCATCTAGTAACATGCTCCAGGTCAGAGGAGACCCTTAATTCCTGTAACAGTGGGATGGAGCAGGTTGCAGTTATCCAGCAGCTTTGGCTGAAGACCAACAAACAGGTGTTGCAGGCCCTAGCTGTTTCCACTGATCTGGAGGAGACCAGAGGGGACTGGGAGTGAGTAATAGTGTAGACTTTTAGAGCTGAACTCTTGCTAATTGGGTGGACCACTGAAGTTGCCCATTTAGAGCCACCTGCCTATAAAGTGGACTGCAGTAATAGTAGGATGCAACTGTGAACAAACTTTGGGTCTAGTAAGAGCAACAGACTGAATGTTGTGGGTTTTGACACTATAGACTGACCTGTCGTTCCACCAAAGGTGAGATGGCAGTAGTTAGTTTGATATGCTTTCTGCAAGCAGCGAGGTCTAGCAGCAGTTTGCCTTGTAATTCAGCAGTTTGGCTGAACTGTGCAGTTGTGCAAGGACTGCTTCAACCACAGATTATTCGAGGGTCTCAACACCTTCACAAAGCAAACCTGCTAGAGAATGCAGTTTTCTGAAGCTGAACCTGGAAGGTCTAGGAAGTATGATGCTCACTAGGAAACTACTGAAGGACCAAGTTGGAATGTTTAGTATTAATGTACAGCCTTGCTTACATGTCACTTAGTAGCATGTGTAAGAACTAGTCTATAGTGGGAGCTGAACTGCTCTACTGCATGGCCTCCAGTGAGGCTAAGGGAGATGGCCTAGGCTAGCATGCCCATAAAGGGAACTGAAAATAAGGCCCAAAATGGGCTTGGTGCTGTAGAGTAAAAGACAAGTGCTTAGCTCCTCTATCTAACATGAACTGGTCCCTGCTGGTCTGACATGACCTCGCCTGTGAAATGAGCGGTTGCTCAGTTAGTGGTTGAATGCAGCCTTGAATTCACAGAGTCTGGTTCCAGGCATGCCAGGCTCTGCCACTCACTGGTCCCTTACTGACAGTCTGGTGTCTCAGACTCCAAACTTGTTGCCTTTTGCCTTGAGGAATGATGTGTTAATGGTATCTGGTATTCTCTTCCTTTTTAGTTTAAAAGATGACTTCTAGGAAGAAAGTGTTGCTGAAAGTCATCATCCTTGGAGACTCTGGGTAAGTGGAAGAGCCTTTATGCTGCCAATCTGCATCTGGCTGGCTAGAGTAGTGCCCTAACTGGTAGGAGTCTGGATGTACCATAAGAAACCAGCAGTGTTGGGAGGAGAGGTTTTGCAGCCCCAGATAGCTGTGTTGCCTTAATGCTTTAAGAGCACTTCACTGTCATCTGTCCTGAATGTGTCCCCACAACTTAATATCTTTAAATACTGCCACATTAAACAGGGCAAACAAAATGGGCAGACTGCTAATGAGCCTCTGATAGCAGAACTGGATTGCCTCTTTGCAAGGAGGATGTATGGTGGTGAAATAAGCATTTCATTTTAAAAAAAAAAGGTTGGGAGCCACCATAAGCAATCTTAGGTGATCTAAAACTACCTCTGTCAGAGGCATAGGTTAGACTGAGCAGTCTGCTTAGTTTGTCTGATGTGGCTAGAGCCTGTCTGTTGGAGTGAAGCTGTACCACTCCTGGCTCTTGAGTGTGGAGTCTGCTCTGCTGTTCTGGGTTTGCCTTGCAGACTGTAACCTGACTCCCATGACATCAGGCTTATTTATACTACAGTGCCCAGCAAGCTGTTGATCAGGGAGTGTTCCTCAGCCACAGAGAGGGCATGTGACGCTGTAAGCTGGCTTTCTGAGAAGGCTCTCTACTTCTGGGCACCTAGCTGGAGCACAGGACATGGACCTGTTGCCAGGCTGAAATTGCTTGTACCTCCATCTCCATTAGTGCTGTAGAGGCTGAAGATGACTGTTTCTGCGTTCCTTTTGGCACTTCAGCTTCCAAGATTGCCTTCGTTGTATGATGCACTCACCTTACCAAGGGTCAGATTACTGATGGAGAAACAGGGTTTCTCAGGACCTTAATCTTTCATACCCTTATGTAGCTAATGCTCTTACTCAGCCTGTTGCCCCAGCATCTATTGCAGTGAAAGCCCTTTCTTTGAGTTGGATGCCCTTCTCCTGACTGAAAGGCCAAGAGGCTATGGTAGAAGGTGGTGAAGGATGGGGTGTTCTGCTCAGGGTGGCAATTCAAGTGCTGTTGTAGAAGCAGCCTACCTAGTTCTGTTTGTCTTTCTGTGCAGAGTGGGAAAGACATCACTCATGAACCAGTATGTGAACAAGAAATTCAGTAACCAGTACAAGGCTACGATAGGCGCAGATTTCCTGACGAAAGAGGTCATGGTGGATGACAGGCTAGTGACAATGCAGGTAAGGAGCAACTTTGCTCGCTGCTGAGAGGAGGTGTCTGGCTGCCCAGGTCTTGGCCATGTGGAGGTATCTACTCCAGAGTGTGCTGGTCACAGGTCCTGCTTGCACTGAACTGTTCTTGGCCCCAGTTGCTGCTAGGGTTCTCCACAAATCTGTATGAACAGAACTGAGGGAAGGCAAAGATCAGCTTGTCTGCTCTCAGCTAAGAGCAGCTTTGCTGTGCCCAGTTTTAAAGCCAGCATTTGGTACTGTTGCTAGAGTAGAAGTTGATAGAAAGATGCACTTCCCTAGTGTTCAAGGACTGCAAGGGACTGGGGAAGGACTCTGTAGCCAGGTCAGCTACTCATGGTGCTATGTGAGTATAGTGTTAACCTGCCAGTTTGCATGTGTGTTCAGTACCTAAAGCTTTTGTCTCTCTGAGGTGAGACTGATGGCAAGGCTGCGAAAGTCCTGCTGTAACTAGCTGAGCAGAGTGTTTGGACTCTGCTGGTACCCCAGTATACCAGAGTGCTGCAGGCAGCTTTCCTTCTGACCCTAATCCCTAAATCATGCTCGCTGAAAACGAGGATACCTCCCTTGCTGAGAGTGAACACAAATGGTTAGTGCTGCCTTTAGAAGGGCTTTTCTGGCTGTTTAGTGCTATAGGAGTTTCCAGACCTCCAGGTGTTCCTTGCCTCAGGCTAGCTTTCTCCCTGGCTGGGGGCTACAGGTGGGTGCCTGGGGCATGGGGACTTTTAAAGTGAAGGCCCTAATTGTGGACTGACTCTGTTAGAGCAGAGCTGGCTTAATTGCCTTTTTTTGCTGCAGATATGGGATACAGCAGGACAAGAACGGTTTCAGTCCCTGGGAGTTGCCTTCTACAGGGGAGCGGACTGCTGCGTGCTGGTGTTTGATGTCACGGCCCCTAACACATTCAAAACCCTAGACAGCTGGAGGGACGAATTCCTCATTCAGGCCAGTCCAAGGGATCCTGAGAACTTTCCTTTTGTTGTGCTGGGAAACAAGATTGACCTAGAAAACAGACAAGTGAGTACTGGGACTTGCTAGCCTGCTCCTAGGAAGTCATTGGAGTGGGAGACCTTATAGGGACATGTGAGAGTTATCTGAGGAACAGAAGTGGGAGATGTCAAAAGGTGGCTCAGCTCTTGCCTGGCACAGAGGAGGAGTTTCTCCACGCTATTCTCATCTGCCTGAAGGGGTCAAACCCCTGTACAGAACATGCTCTTCCCCAGCAGAGGAGAGATTGCTCTGGGTAGATTCAAGGAGAAGAGTTGACTCCTCCTTCAGAAATGCTGAGTAATTCCTGTGGGAGCAAGTCTTAACTCGGGCATCTGTGGAGCAAAGTGTGTGCAGGGCACAGACTGTCTTGCTAGGGCCCAGTCCCCCTTGCTCTGGGCTGCAGTGTTGTGTGGTGGTAGGTAGCAGCTTCCTGCCCTCTAACAGGGATTGGCCCTCTTGGAGGGGCCCTTGTAACTGGTCTCGCTTACGGCTGGAGACTCAGGCCTGCAAAAGGGCTACTCAGCCCCAGCTCTGCCTCTAGAGCTGAGACCCTACCTGGGAGGAAGAGGGGAGGAGCAGCTCTGTATCAAGGCTATAAGCTTTACTGATGTCAGAGCTACTGTCTTAACCCAGGTTGGATGTGAAGGGTCTGTGGCCTTGGCCTGGGAACAAAGCTCCCTTCCTGCATAGCTGCAGTTGGTGATGGTACTCTCTCTTCACCCAGGTCACCACAAAACGGGCACAAGCCTGGTGCTACAGTAAAAACAACATCCCCTACTTTGAAACCAGTGCCAAGGAGGCCATTAACGTGGAACAAGCTTTCCAGACGATTGCACGAAATGCACTTAAACAGGTAGGTGATGGAGGGCTGATGGGTGCCCTCTGGTGGTGCCAGTACTGCCTGCTGAGCTTGGCTACACAGCTGGGGTGAGGGCTGGAAGGGCCCCCCGGAGGGGGGCCTCGCATGCTAGGAGCATCTGTAGATCCATTTTGGGAAGGCACTAACTCTTCCCTTCTCTCCCACTAGGAAACCGAAGTGGAGCTTTACAATGAATTCCCCGAACCCATCAAACTAGACAAGAATGATCGAGTGAAGGCTTCTGCAGAGAGCTGCAGCTGCTGAGGGGAGAGGGAGGGGTTGAGCACAGTCCTTCACAAACCAATATCACACTTAGGCCTTCAAACACACAGCCCCTCTTCTGTGTTTAAAACGAAATCTAAAAATTTCCATCTTCAGCTGCCAAAATCCACCCATCTCCCAAGAGCATCTGAGTCCAGCACTTCAGAGCTCATGTCCCCGCACCATCCACATCACACTTCATGGTAACAGACCTTTCTCTTAGTTTAAATGGAAACTCTTATGTATGTTTGGAACTGAATCTAATTCCAGGTGTCCAATGGAGAGAAACTGTTTACAGGTAATCTGTGTAACAAATTACATACATTTTTAACTGTCTTGTGTTTTTCCCCTGTGAAGGCTGCAACTGGAAAGGCTGATTACCCATAGTTCATTGCAAGCTCAGCACTCAGTCCAACTAGGTTGAGTTTTGTATGTATCTCTGTTAATGCTTGTTACTTTTAACTAATCAGATCTTTTTACAGTATCCATGTATTATGTAATGCTTCTTTAGGAAAAATCTTATAGTACATGTTAATATATGCAACCAATTAAAAATGTATAAATTAGTGTAAAATTCCTGGATTACATGTTCAAGTACTGAAACACAGATTGTCTAGAAAGTGAGGAGGACACTTGTGAACTGCAGTGTGCTAGCAACACAGAGTCCAGATAGAGGCAGTGTTCTGTACAGTAGAGATGAACTGAGTAAACCTTCTTGTTTTGGAGCGTAAAGGCTTCATCTTCGGGAAAAATCTGTCCAGCTTCCTTGTGTCTAAATTCAGATTTGTATAACAACCATGATATGCACACCAGATCATTGGGTTAAAAGAATCAAATACGGCTGTGAAGTGACCTCATTTGTTCACCTCCCCCACTGCTTAACTCCTAACATCCTGGAGCAAATGTGAGAAGGAGTCAGATCTGAGGTGTTCCGGTGGCTCTCTGTACTGTGGAAGGAGCTCCTCTCCCATCTGGGTTGTGGGAGCTGTTTCTCGATGAATGACCTGGACTATGAATCTTCCCTTTCTTACTGACTGCTAATCTGGATTTTTTTGGTATGGAAAAACTTGGCTATCTAGTCCCTTTCCTCTCCTCCTTTCTTCCTGGTATTTGTTCTTGCGTTTGTAGCTTGCTTAAGTGGAGCCCTTCTACCTGTTTTCCAGAGGTCTACATTCTAGTACGTAGGCTGAGCTCTTATGTAAAGAGACAAACATGAGGCCAATAAACTTAACAAGAACAAACCTTGTTTACTCCTGTTTCTGACTCTTTTCTTCACTAACAACCTGCTTCCTTTCCACTGTGGTCACCATTTTAGCAAGCCAGTGCCTGCTGCTGGAAGGATGCATGTGCTTCCTTATTGTAAAGCCTATGCTTTCCACATCTGTCTTTGAGAGTGGGTGAAGAAGGCCTCACTTGCTTGGGTGACCCCAGAGACTATAACAGGGCAACTAGCACTCTACTTCTCTCGAAGCTGCTTGCAGTGGCAGGAGTTGTGCTGGATCTGGTCACTCTTAGGTTAACCTGCTCCTTTGGCTCTGTTCTGGCTGTGCTAAAACCTTTGTGCAAGGGTGGAGATGATAGCAGTGCTGTGCAGCTCTTGCTGCTGCCCTCAGGGAGGTGCTAGTGAAAAGGGCAGGCTGCTGCTGTCTGGGCCTGTCCCAGCTCCTGGGGTCAGGCCAGCCTTGCAGGAGCTTGGGTGGGCTCTGCTCCTAGCTGAGGCTGTAGTTATGAGCTGTGGTGCTGGCTTGCCAGTTGCACAGTGTCACAGATCACCTGGAGTTAGTCTTATAAAAAGAGGACAGAGAGTGATTGCTGGGTGGAAGACAGTTGGTGCTTGGTAGTGGGGGTCTGGTAGGTGTGGGTGCAGCTCCTTGGGCAGGAGTGACTAGCAGCTTTAGGCAGTGCTTTGCTGCAGCTGCCTCACTGAAACAAAGCCTTACCTTCTACTCACAGTTTTTGGGGAGCTTTGTTCCTGGTTTAGGGTACCTTAGAGGGAGATAGGACTGTTCCTTGGTACAGTCTAGTCAATTTTAAGCCTTTAATTTCTACATCCTGGGTATGACCCTGTGCTCTGTCACCTCTGCTTGTTCTGCTATTCCCACAGTAAACTAGGAAGCAAAGCTTAGAGAAATGAGGCCAGTTATTTGGAGAGACTTCTAACAGACTCTTGTGCACTGTATCCTATTGGGTGGCATCATACTATCACTTTTTTTCTCTCCTTCTCACTTGACTGGGCTTTTGCTGTTCAAATCCATTTCAAACAACTACCCTGCAATAGTAATGTGTCCTGGTGGGCCTGGTTTCCTATCTGCATCTTTCTGAAAAGGCTCAGACTTTCTGCTAGTCTCCATTTAAGGCATCAGTTTGTACTTGTTTTCTGTAGCTATAAATGTAGCATGGAGAAAGTCAAGGGGAGGAAGAAGGGTAGGGGAGACGGGGAGCAATAACTCTGAAGGGGTGTGTTGAGGAAGGGGAATGACCTTAATTCTGCATCTACCTTCTGCTACTTGAGCCTCAGCTCCTGGAGCTGAGGCAGGCTGTAGCACAGAGAAGAGAGGCCAGAAGGGCTGGAGGGGTGCGTATCTTACCCAGTATAAGAACTAAGGCCCATCAGATGAACCTGCCAGCTACACAAAGTGAGAGGAGGGTGCTCCACGTGCTGTAATTGAGCTGTGGAGCTCCTTGCCACAGGATGTTATGGATGCTGTGGGGGTGGGGGGGAAAACTCGATTCTGCCACCTACGAAAAAAACAATATTTTGGAGGTGGGAATATGCACACAAGTGCACAATAGAGGTGTGTGCTCTTCAAAGCACTGTTAGGTGGCCTTGATTGACGTGTTGCAGGAGGCAAGCAGTTTGGGAGTTTGTGCCACAAGCTTTCCTGGCTGTTGTACTCCAAGAAGCTGATGCTGTTGGAGACAGGCTGGGCCTGGTGTTCTTGCGGGATTCACTTGCATCACCACCATGGTTTGGAGAAGTCCTGGACTGAAGAAGCTGGCCAGACTGATAGTCCCTGCAGGGTACAGTGTATTTAGGGTAAACCATTCGTCTGCTCAAAGACACTCCTAAGGTTCCAGTAACGCCTCATGGCTTTTACTTCTGCACTGACCTTTTTGCCTGATGAGTTACAGATGCAATGATGTGTGCAATGGTGACTTGTTGTTGGACAAACCACAGCGGAAAACCTAGCCATGGAAGAGGCTGTGGCATCTGGCCCATCCACTGAGCGAGCCTAGCGCGAGGGAGGCAGAGGACTGGTTGTGTTGTTTGGCCAGGTCCTGGCTGGACTGGAGGGAGAAGCCTGAAGAGCAAGGCTGGCTGGTGGAAGGGGAGGGGAACTGGTGCAGACCCATCCATGAAGAGGGGTGCTTGTTGTGAGACATGGTTTATTTTAAATTTGCTTTGAAATGAATTTGATTTTCATTCAAACTTCTGAAGGAAAAATGATTTCTTTTTTCAACTCCTCTCCCCGTCCCCCGTTCCTTCCCATCTGCAACAAGGGTAGCTCGGAGGAGGGAGAAGGGGGGCTGGGTGGATATGGGAAGCCTCTCTCCTGCTTTCCTGGTACCTGGGAAGAGCTGCCTCTTCTGCAGCAGCTCTCCTGCCCCAGAAAGACCTCAAGCGCTGACTGCTGCCCTCGGGAGCATGAAGCGGGCAGGAGAGCCGTGATCTCCATGAGTGCTGCTTGGCGATGCCTCCTGTTTCAGGGACTCTTCCCCCGTCCGCACCAAGCGT